TTTTAAGTGGGAGAACTTGCACAATTGGTGGCTGACTAAATACTTTTTTTCCCCACTGTAACTTTTGGATGACTGAAGATTTTAGTGATAGGTCTAATGCTTTAATATTTAATAATTTCTGTCCTCCGAATTCATATTCATTATATAAATATGCTCTTTTAATTTTGTCTGGCTTGCCGTTCCAAATAAAATTGAATATTTTTTTCTCATATAATTTAAAAAACTGTTTGCTAGGCGTAGGCAAGACCATAAGCAAATAGGTAAACTGGGATAATACTAAAGAGTTAATCAGGGTGATTTTTCCACAAATTGACAGGTATTTTCCTTTCCATGGTAGTAAGATCTTATCTATTTTTGCTAACTTTCTATTAAAATTTATTGAAGTGAGATCATTTATTTCCTTTGGGATATGTATTCCGAGTATATCCACATCACCATCAGACCATTTTATTGGTAAACTACATGGTAATGTAAAAATTGTATTTTTTAGTGATCCAATACGTAATATAGTACATTTGTCATAATTTGGTTTTAATCCAGAGAGGTTAGAAAATGTATCTAGATCCTCTATGAGGCTGTGGAGGGATTCTAGTTGTGGATCTAAAAGAAAACATGAATCATCTGCGTACAATGACACCTTTGTTTTTAAGCCCTGTATTTCTAATCCTCTGATATTATTATTGGATCTGATTTTAATAGCTAACATCTCGATGGCCACAATAAATAGATATGCCGATAGTGGACAACCTTGTTTCACTCCTCTTGACAGTTTGAAACTTTCTGAGAAATAGCCATTATTTACTATTTTACACCTAGGGTTACTATACATGATTTTGACCCATTTTATAAGAGATTCTCCAAAATTTAAATGCTCCAGGCATTTATATATAAATTCCAGTCGAACTTTATCAAATGCCTTTTCGAAGTCTGCTATGAATAGCAGGCCTGGTTTCCCATATTTTCCATAGTGTTCTATTGTTTCCAATACTTGCCTTATATTATCTCCAATGTATCTTCCATGTAAAAAACCTGTCTGATTAGAATGAATAATATCCGACAATACCTTTTTAATTCTATGCGCTATACATTTTGCTAGGATTTTTGCATCACAACACTGAAGTGTAAGGGGCCTCCAATTTTGTAAATGGACTGGATCTTTATATTTTCCACTTGTATCCTGTTTCAGTAATAATGAGATCAGACCTTCTTCTTGAGTGTCAGATAATCTACCATTTACATAGGAGTGGTTAAAACATGCTAATAACGGTCCTCTTAGTATATCAAAAAAGGTTTGGTATACCTCGATTGGTATGCCATCCAACCCTGGAGTTTTCCCGGACTTAAAGTCTTTAATTGCATCCAGAAGTTCCTCCTCTGTAATTTCACCTTCACATGAGTCTTTCTGTGTGGCTGTTAATTTGACATTATCAATAGAAAAAAAATCTCTACAATTAGCTTCAGTTAGAGGAGATGGAGGCGACTGAAAAGAAAACATATGCTTAAAATACTTTGTTTCTTCCTTCAAAATATCATTAGGTGAATTATGGGTGACTCCGTCAATTGTAACCAGTTTCATTAAGTTCTTTTTGGTAGCATTCCTATGTTGAAGATTAAAAAAGAATTTTGTGCATTTTTCCCCATATTCCATCCAGTTTGCTTTATTTTTATAATATATTACACTTGATCTTTCTTGAATAAGTTTTTCCATTTCTTTTTGTTTTTCCTCTAATTTATTCTGAGCCTCTATGTTACAGTTTTTATTGCCATCTATCTGTTCTGTTAGACTTTCTATTTCCTTTCTTAGTATAAACTCTTTTGACCTAAATTGCTTTTGTTTTCGAGATGAGTACTGAATTGCATGGCCTCTAAAGGCACATTTAAAAGTGTCCCATACAATAAGGGGATTCGCTGTACCTATGTTATGTTGGAAAAAGTCAGTTATAAATTCCTTTGTTCTAATTATAAATAAATTATCAAATTATCAGTTATTTTTCTTACCCAGAGGATGGACCCAAGCCAAGACCCCACACTGTCACTTATTTAAGAGAGGTTGTGTTTTCAGTTGCAATTCTAGTAGGCTATTATGACATGCCTAAGTTATTATTGTCATTATGTCATATGATTTATATGTTCGGAATGTTGATGATAAAACTACTATGACTGCAATTTAGTATTGCAGACTGCTTTGAGTATCCTGTGTTTGAGTAGGAGTGTAAACCATTGAGACTTTAGTAGCCTGTGTTTGAGTAGGAGTGTGTAGCCTGTGTTTGAGTATGTGGTCCTCTGTAGCTCAATTGGTAGAGCATGGCGCTTGTAACGCCAGAGTAGTGGGTTCGATCCCCGGGACCACCCATACGTAAAAATGTATGCACACATGACTGTAAGTCGCTTTGGATAAAAGCGTCTGCTAAATGGCATATTATTATTATATTATTAGGAGTGTAAACCATTGAGACTTTAGTAGACTTTAGTAGTGTTTGAGTATGTCAACCGAAGATGGTAAGGTAAGATAAAGGAAAGAGAATAGAGATGCCGTACAACACAGTTTCAAAGTCAAGCTGTTTCATTGTGTTTGAGTATGTCAACAGCAGACAGTAAGGTAAGATAAAGGAAATAGTTTGTAAGTTACAGAATCTCGCTTTTTTCCTCACTCCTCCTGGCGATACAGCAGCTAAATGTGCCCTACATTTCTCCTACTTTTGTGACCAACACCTTCAAAAGCAAATACACGCTGCAAGGGGATAAGCGTGCCGACTTAGAGGAGAAGAGAGGGGAGAGAGAAAGAGAGAGGGGGGGAGAGAGAGAAAGAAACACACACAGAGAGACACATAGAGAGATAAGCGTGCCCACTTAGAGGAGAAGAGAGAGAGAGAGAGAGAGAGAGAGAGAGAGAGAGAGAGAGAGAGAGAGAGAGAGAGAGAGAGAGAGAGAGAGAGAGAGAGAGAGAGAGAGTGAGAGAGAGTGAGTGAGAGAGAGAAGGAGATTGTACTAATTGCAAACTGTCAGCTGGAGGATATCTTTTTCTGTTACCTTCACCCCAACGCCCACTCAGTTACTGTACTGAAGGTTGTACTGCATGGGTACATGCTGACAAGCCGCCATAAAAACATGTTTTCCCATGCTCTTCTGGGGAACAACAGGAGAATATTATAAAATAATCAATACATCATAGAAACTATAGTTCAGACAGGAAACGTCACATATTCGTTTAAGCATTTATTAGAAAAATATTACAATACATGCAATACATTAGTCCTGACGTTAAGCTTTGCTCCTTTGGGGTAGCTCACTGCTAGAGCAGAGCGTGCATCATGTTAAGATAATAATAATTACAGGCAGTGAGCAAGGTACACTGTACCAATCCCCCTGACCGAAACAAAAGCAGAGCCCAAACAGGTGGAGGGTGGGGTGGGGTGGGGGGTGGGAAAGCAGAAAATAGACATGCATGACGAGTAACACGTTTCAGGAATAGCATGTCACCAGAACACCAGCGCATAGCTTGCTTGTTAGATGCATTTGCAGGGTTTCGGATTAAATTGAGTCAATGCTGTATGTTGGTGACTCCAACTGCACACTGTATCCCATTTTCATGCACAGGTTATCCAGTTAACATTACATTATAACATCTCACAGATTCATTACCCTATGGTGTTTGATGATTGATTATTTGATTGTTTTTAAGGCCTCAGGCAGGGAAATGATTTTGATGAAGATTGTCAACTCAGGATGAAAAGTAAGCAATCACCAGATTGACCTGATATCAAGCTCCAGTCTTCTGAATATTATTATGACTGATTATTATTATTATAATGATGATGAGGATGATGATGCATTCCACTCCTACTGAATATATGTAAATGAAGGACAATGAGAAAAGAGGACCTTTGTAAATGATCATTTATGTTAATGTTATTTTTTTATGATTATGTTTTTAGCTTGGTAGAACAAATAAGCCACTTACAACTTCTTAAATATCATAACATTTCCTACAGAAATAGGAACTGGATGGCAGAGTCTGCAATACAGAAGGCTGAGGGGAATGAGTTCTCTGAGGTAACCCATTAACTACATTATAATACAGGTAGTATTGTACAGTACATTGTATTGTATTTGCTGTCAGCCATAGGAAATAGTGATTTAGACCACGAAAGCTATTTCCTGGGGACTGCAGATGAAAATGAGCTGCTAGCTAAATCTGGTGCAACGCATCATTTCTCAGTGTTCTGAGAATTTAGTTTTTGTTGTAAATTGTCTCTGTCTAAATAAACATAATAAATAATAATAATAATTTCAGAATGATGCAAACAGAGTCAAACGTAAAACATTTCTGTAGTACTTGATTCTGCCACTATTTTGCACTGGACTAAAACAGTATCTGCCATATTTAATTCAACCATAAGATGGTGACCTTTTCCATTAATTCACACAAAATTACCCAACTCAATCTTTACTTACTACGTACTCTGATCACTAGGTGAAGCTGCTGCAGCAGACACTGGTACAACCCTACCTCACACAGGACGTAGCAGAGGAGGCGGGGTATGCAGCACAACCCCCATGGTGGGCCCAGGGGTTAAAGGTCAGCTGTTCCTCCTGAGTGACGCCTCTGCCTCAATATGACGGGACTCATCGTGACATAATATTTGAAGTGTATTCAGGATCACAGTGTTTACTGCACTGCAACAAAAAAAATCTCTTCAACACCAGTTTCTACATTGTCCAGCATCTGTTGACTGCAGTTCACATCTACATAGCCATCATGATGGAATTAATCTGCAACTATACATTTAGTTCAGTACTTGCACATAAAAATGTTCACGCAACTGTTGGATGACCATGAACGTAAACCTGTTTGCTGATCTCATGTAATTCAAGATGAGAAAAGGCACAATCAGCTGCTGTTTTAGAAACACTGTGAGGTCATAATAAATGTGTGATGTCATAATAAATGTGTAATGAATGAAATTGGACAGAATGAGGACAGAAAATTAATTTGAAATATGGTATAATATATTTATTCAGACAAGAGCAGATTGGGAACACGTCTATTCTCGGAGTCAAATGATCTTGATGAGAAATGTGTATTTATACACTATTTACACATAACCCTCGGCCCAAATACAGAACTAGTTACAGTATGTACAGTACATGTACAATACAGTTCATGTCTCATAAAGTGATTGGATCAACTGCGACAAACATTGTCAGTAGATGACGGTTTTTGGCTTAAGATCAACCGCCAGATTTTCCTTGTCGGCCATCGGATTTGAACCGGCAACCCGCTTACTAACCTTGAGCCTCCTGCTGCTCCACAGTTGGTGATTAACATTAATATAAAGTGACCCCACTTTACACAGTAGTTGAATAAATCTCTTTGATGTAAAAAGCCTCTCCGTCTCACAAACAAATAACTTCCCAACTAATTTATCACTTACAGTATAGTAAACATAAAGTAGTTGCTGTTCTTAAATCATATCTGCAATATTCTTTCCTTTAAAAGTCTGTATCAACTACTGTCACCGGTGGTTGATTTTCCTGAATGTAAGGGTTGAGTGTGTGGACCAATCCCCTGTTTACTGATTGCCACGTTTCTTAGCCATAGCCTTGGCTAGTTCTGACATGAAGTCCCCGCCCCCGGGCGCTGCTAGTGGTGGTGTAGTCCTCTTGGGTGGAGGGGGGCCTGTTTTCCTCACCGATGGGGTCGATCGGAACCCTGCTGGGGCAGAGGAAGGTGGGGGCGGAGGTGGAGGGGGGGGTGCTCCAGCCCCTATATAGGACTGGCGAGGCGGAGGTGCTGGTAAGGAACCCCTGTTGGTCACAGGGCAGAAGGTAGGATCAGGTGGTGGAGGTGGTAGGGGAAAACCTGGGTCCGGTGGTGGTGGGGGTAGGAAGCTGACTGGATGTGGAGGGGGTAACGAGCCGGCACCTGGACCGAATCCAAGAGCTGGAGGTGGGGGAGGGAGGAAGTCTGGAGGTAACTCTGGGCCGTCGTCCTGGGAGAGAGGTGGAGGTGGTGGAGGGAGGTTGTCCATGGATGTCGGTGATGGGGGGAATTTGGTGGGCAGGCTGGGTAGTTGTCGTGGGACAGAGGTTGATGGTGGGCTTCTCTTGGCAGCCAGGGGCGGTGGTGGTGGGGTCAGCACTGGGTCAGGGGGTGGCGGGGGGAGGATCTGTGTAGGTAACAGGGGTGGTGGTGGAGGGGGTGCATTGCCAACCTTGGCCACAGGTTCTGCAGGGGGCTGGGGAGCATGTCCATTGGCCTGACCAGAAGCTTTGGCTGGGAGAAGAGCAGAGAGAAAGAGACAAGCAAGGAATAAGATCTTTCATATCAATACAGTCATTATTTGAAATTTGATTTGAAGAGTTCTTGATTTTGTATACTCAGTGTAGTAAAATAATGATGATCTATCCATTGATAATCTTTCTGCTCACAGCTAATATCTACCAGCAGAAAGGGTGTCTACTAACCTTTGGTGGTAGGGGAAGGTGTTGACGGAGTGGACGTTGTAGTGCTGGTGCGGTTGGTCCACGCAGTGGTGACTGCAGCCTTCTTCGTCGAAGTTTTGTAGTTTTCATACAGAGACTTCCCATACTGAGGGGACAAACACCAACCATTACAATACACACAAGACCACCAACTCTGTCTGCACAACCCATCACCGTTTATGTTTCTGCCTTAGATATACGCTGTCAAGCTGTCTGAGCTCACCTTTGCGATGCGTATTGCTGTCACCCAGAGAGTCATGGTCCAGGCATCATCACAGCACAGATATTTAATATACTGAGACTCTTTCTGGATCTGGGGGTGCTGTAGATAGGAATGGGGACACATCTTTAGGGTAGCGAATCAGTGAGACAAAAAGATTGCATCACATCCAATGTGTTCTTTTTGGTACCACTACCCTGTATGAGCTTGCAATTTATTTTTTTATTTTTGGGGGGGGAAGTGATTCCAGCCATAAGATCTCTAAAGTCCTCTAATGTAGATTGCATAAAAATATCAGATATCCACGCTAGCAGAATGAAGCGTTACAGACTGATGACAGCGGTGGGATTTAAGAAAGTGAACTACTCCTCCATATTGAATGCGTCATGGAAAAGCTGGTGATAATCAGACAGTCAGCACTCATGTGCCTCCCAAATAACATGGGAGACGTCCAACACTGAAATGTCCACCCGGCTGATGGAGTTATGGCACAGCATCCATCACAGAGGGTGGTAAAGGAGAGAACCGAGTCATACTTTCTCCCCTGGCCGTTGTTCAAACACAGCAGTTTGTATGAGATCATTGTCCATCTTTCATGAGCACATTAGCCATCTGAGAGAAAATGTCTTGACTTTGCTGTAGGGCCATTACCACACACTGATTGGCGTGATTCAGTGTTTTCCACTATGAAGCTGAAGGTGCCTGGTAGTGCCACTAGGGGGCACAGTCTGTCTAAAATTAAGCTTTGGCCAACTAGCCATGGCGGAGTTAGTCTCCATTAGTGCCTACAAAAAGATGCCATTACTATTGCTCTCTATAACATCTGAGTCCAAATGCCTAGCTCCATTTCACTCATTCAGCGGTGCATTATGAGCATTGATGACCCAATGCAGAGCTAGATATTAGAGACCTTGCTAAACCTTCCCAGGGTTCCAACCTGTCTGCTACATTGACTGAGTGAGATCATCTTCCTTCAGCCTCACTTCTTCAACCCTCTAGCCTTGAGGGGATATCTCTCAGTGAAATGTAATTCTGTCTCCTTGTCTCGCTAAGCTCTTTGGCTTTGATTCCCAACACCTCCTAGACCTAGAGAATAATGGTTGTTGCCGATTCAAGTGTTTCCGAAAGGAGGGAGGAAAATAAAGAGTAGTTTCAGATCCTTAAAAGACTATAACCACCAACCTACCAGGAACTCGTGTTCTGAGAAGAAGTGAGAATCTTATTAAAAGATACAACTTGAAACCGAGCCAACTGAAGAGAGCACACTATATTGCCTCAAGGAAAGGGTTTTCACCAAGACAAATACTGTACTATGACTAATGTGTTACAAACCAAATAACATTTTGTTGGCGAAGTTTACAGTGTTCCTCATTCCATTAATTTTATCTAACTCACTTGCAAATTAATTGGCCTGTAAAAATGGGGGACTTTTCACTTCCTGTTACTATATATTGAAGTTCGCAATTCCAGCGAGGCAGCTGTTGGGTTGACCACAGTACCAGTCTGTAGAGTGACAAAAATATACCAGAGTTATTTACAATTATAATAAACAAAACCCTCACTGTATGCTTATTTAATATGTACATGCATACTTACACTTGCAGCATGTGAGATACCTTTCCAAATAAAGCTATACTGTATAGAGACTATTACAGTAGCTCATAGTGGAAGAGTTAAGCTCGGTTTAAAGGAGCGATCTGCATTTCAAACAATAACAAAGAGTACACCCAGCCACTGTTTTGGTAAAAAGCTGTGGGATGGGGATGGAGAAATGTAACCACTCTCAAATTCATAGACAGAGCTGTGGATGCAAGGACTGACCATTGATATCAACATGAGAGATTTAACCATGTTTTGAGACTATACAGTGTTTGTTTACAATTACAATGTCTACAAACAAAGGAGTAACACAAGCTTATATTTTGGGTTCTGATGGGGTACAACAGTTGAACGAAGCTAATAAGGCATCTTTCAAGAATCAATGGTTATATATAATTCATTTAAAAGTAAAACAATCGATGTAGCAATCGAAGATAATATTGGGGAAGGAAGCGCTCATGTAGTTTCTCTCTTTATATACCTTTTACTAACTGTGACTTTTGAGCTGTGAGACTAAAATGGGGTCATCCTTCCAAAAAAGTGTTTTCAACTGTTCACTCACCTTCAGAACAAAACAGAAATCTGTTGGGGCCTTGTATTTGTTTTTGAAGTCTTTGCCATAGTAGACATTTACATTGTCGAACTGGACGAAACACACCAGGTCACGAGATGTCTGTGGAAAAAAGGTAGTCAAACTTGAATCTTGAATGACAGCATTGTGTTCAAACACTATAGCCTAACTTAAAAAATGTATCACTTAATCAATGCCTTGAAACAAGAACCAGTAGCCACTGTAGCCTTGGGTTGACTTACAGTAGCACCTTCACCCATCGTCAGTAGAGTTGAGTAAAATCTCAACACCATAAAGACATAATCTATGAATGGCGTGTTTATGAATAACTGTTGCCACAAGATGAAAGATGTAAGTGAATATAGGTTGCCAGTGGGTGCAAATAATCCAGTTGTATTTTTAGAGCGGCTTGAACGGAATAAGGGGTTGATAAAGCAAAAAGTATTTAGCACTATAACGTTGTAGTCCAAGAGTAAAGAACCTCCCAGCCATTTCATTAAGGTCTCAGTTGACATTGAGACCATTTTTGCAGACATCTTTTTTCTCTTACCTTTTGTTGTTGTTGCGGGAAAGGGGTTACTTTTGATCACATAGCAACTCTGTATGTATGTTGGGTTAGCTGGGAGTGTACTGTGTTCTGTTCACACTAAACTGAAACTGACTGGGCCATATAGCCAGTGGATGTGTTTTCTTTATCTGGGTTGTAGCCCAAGTCCCTTTTTGACCTCTGACCTTGCTCTTCCCTTTGGGTACATAATAAATTCCAGAGGCCCGCAGCAGGAAGAGGCGCTGTTTCCACGACTTCTTGCCATCCTCCCTGAGATAGAGCACCCCCTCTAAGTCAGGCACGATGATGGAGGTCCCACAGAAGTTCTCCTGTGTGGGGAGGAGGCAGGAAGGGAATAAGAAGTCACAGAAAGGTCACATCATTGGAAACTGTCACTCAACATGAAGTCTCACATCTTTTCAATGGTCTAGTCTACATGGTGGAGTTTGTGTGACTTACCTCCACAAGTAACTCCTTGTCTCTGTCTTTCATGTCTTTGAGAGTTTTCTTGTCCTTCTTCCACTGATAAAAGTTCTATAGTGAGAAAAATATTAGCTTTACTATGCCAGTTAAAATAAGTCAAAACTTTAGGGTCGTAATAAGTGGTCACACTGCACCAATCCGTTGATTCAACCTTTATATTTTTTGGTGTTCTTCGGAGGACCAATGTAACTTTGTTTTACATTTTTGTTTTTACAGCTTTTTTGTTACAAATACATTTTACAAAAAAATGTCATACATTTATCTTAACTGATGTGAAGAGTTCGGATTGCAATAGTAGCCATGCTATTCAAGAGGGGTTTAAGTGAAATTATATTTTCTTAGGATTGATCAAATCTTGTTGGATTCACAAGGATTTACACAGTAATCATGTTTCTATGGAAGAATAAAATCACTTTTGGAAATAATTGTAAGAATACACAAAGCAGTATTTTGGAAATGAGACAATCCCTCACATATTTTTCCATACACTTCAGGCCTGCATATGATACCACAGCCTCTCGCTGCCAACAGCCAAAATGCATTAATACTTAGAGATTACAAAGGGCTCTGTTGGAACAATAAACATTGTTTCAACATTATTAAATTGCCTTGTTTTTCACTGGCTGACATTTTGTTTGATGCATCACTGTGAAGATGACATAAAGGGGTCTGTTTTGAAAGGATATCTCATGATTGAGCAAACATTTGAAAGTAACCAGAGTTGAAATAATGGAGAGATTGATTTGCAAAAACAGAGGGAGGCCAAGAAAAATGGCCTGCTGAGTATTGAGCTGTCAGGATATCATGAGCAGACCACCTCACACTATTTGAAATCAGGGCAGTCGGCAAAACGTTTTTAAATTCTTCTTATGGAACAGACACTGCTGATGATAACTATGCAGGATGTGTATTTTTAATATGTTTAAACTTAGAAAGTGATTGCAGTTTGAAGAAGCAATGTGAAAAACTCACCTGAGGGTTTTTGAAGAATTCATATTTGTCTGATCTCTCTTGGAAGAGAACTTTGTTTTCACTGTCCCTTGTCCATGCAGATAGTGGGTCTACTAGGTTCTCATGGTCTTCAAAACCCCTTTCTGTCAAGACAAAAGCACACAGAGCTCACACAATAATCTGTTATTAATCTATTATAATATGTTATTCTGTTAGTCCTTGGAAAATAATATATCATGGGTCAGTCAAATAATGATAAGATGGAGCCTTTGGCCTACTAAAATGTAAAGTTTACTTATTTTGTATGAGATTATTGATAATTTGATCAATACAATATTATTATTGCAACACCTTTTTTCACAGAAAAATATGCTGTAGAATATAATGGTGACCCTCACCCTGATAAAATATCAAACACAGCTATGAAAATTTACACTCTTCATTGCATACATTAATTTAGTTTTGTAAGGTACTGTTATTTTTCGAAACAATTCTAGCATATCACCAAATATAGTTTACGGACCAATGTATAGAAGCACATTGTCACACCCTGGCTCTGGGGACTCTTATATGTTGAGCCAGGGTGTTAGTTTATATGTGTAGTGTCTATGTTTTGTTTTCTATGTATTCTTTTCTAGATCGTGTGTTTCTGTGTTGGCCGGGGTGGTTCCCAATCGGAGGCAGCTGTGTCTTGTTGTCTCTGATTGGGAACCATACTTAGGCAGCCTGTTGTGCACTTGTCATTTGTGGGATCTTGTTCCGTGTAGGTTTGTGTTTATGACCGAGGACTTCACGTTTCGTTTTGTTGTTTTGTTGCTGTGTGTAAGTACTCAATAAAAGATGTACGCATTTCACGCTGCGCCTTGGTCCAATCATTACGACGATCGTGACACACATGGACACACAAGGTTTGAAGTAGATTTCACTACCATACAATTCTCCATTTACAGTTCTATGCAGAATGGTATTGCGCTTAAAATGGGCCCAACAAAAGACAAGCTTACGGATTTAAAGTGGCATTAAAACTTTAAAACACATGAACTATTAAGAGATCTTTCCGCTTCTTCCCACCACGTTGCCCACCCACACTCTGGTGTTCCATCATGTCTGGGTGTTTCACTGTAGTTTCACCATGTTTCTCAATGACAGGCTACTAGTCCTAATTAAAACAGAGATAGGCATTAAGCATTAGCCAATAGCTTCCAGGGCTGTTGTCTGTGGCCAGGCCTATTACTGCCATTAAATGGATGGTGAGAGCGTGAAACTTTGCTCCTAAAGAGTTTTATAGGGAGTCATTACGAGTTAAAAGCCCTTTGAACTACATTACTGTAACTGCATGGTATGTTGCAGTGCAGGATGCTGTATATGGTGAACACATGGATGTCTCACGGAAATGCAAGCAAATGGCACTTTAATTTAAGGGGGTGAACTTCAGCTTTTATTTTACAATGCCAAAACACAGGTAAGCTAGTAGTGTACATGAATCCCCTCTCAAACATTTTACAACTTTCCAGAACATTTGCGCCATGTAACATGTACAGTAAAACATTACGTTCACAAGGACATTTTTAGGACGCAGATCAAAATCTATTTAATTTCCAATCCATCAAATATGTTTTGAGGTTTTATAGAAGCGGACATACTGTATGCCTTCAAACAAAAAGCAGTTTTGTGGTGAGTGATGCGTGTCTGTGTCACAGACAGGAGTGTAGCATTGAAAATACAGTCATATCAGCAGTACTTCTGGTTTGGTCAAGAGTAACAGATCAACCTCCTCTCATGGAATATAGTCTTAAAGGCTGACATGTGGTGGTCAAAAATGTCATGCGGGTGAGGTGGCAGACATTGGTCTTCAAATAGCCCTCATGACTAAAAAATGTACCAACTGTTGACCAAGGGGATGTTCCTTTTTCCTCTCATCTACATTTGGGTTTACAAGACATGCAAATGCACCACTGTACTCAAATTGCAATAACAGGAATTTTAAAGATTATCATAAAGTCAAGTTGTGCTCTGCCATTATAGAATAAGGGCAATGGTTTGAAAGTTTGTCTTGACTCTCCATAAACTGAATGCAATTACAGGAATTAGCTTAGTGTTATAGGAGACCAGAAAGGATTAAAGATGATCAGAAAGGGTATTACATGAGGTAAATCATGATTTGCATGTTTTTCCCAAAAGGAGGGCTTCTCCAGAGCAAACCAAAGACATGGTAATGGCTGACTGAACAAACATGTTGCCTATAAAGTCCAACAGTAGCTGAGGTAGAGAGATGTAGGATTGAGGTCATGAGGAATATATTATCGCATAACAGGGAAGATGACTGACAGTGCCTGATGTAGTAAATTGAACCCACTTGCCCGGTGTGTGTATGTGTGTGTGTGTGTTTGTGTGTGTGTGTGTGTGTGTGTGTGTGTGTGTGTGTGTGTGTGTGTGTGTGTGTGTGTGTGTGTGTGTGTGTGTGTATGCATGCGTGTGCGTGTGTGTCTGAAAATGGTGGGTTACATCAATGCCTCATTGTGTGCTCACCGCAGCAAGGCTGTCATCGTGCCAATGAAAACACAGTCCATCATCTGGACCTGAATGAAATCCCACCCGGTATGCATGGTATAGAGTGAGTGCATTGAAACCATGGAACAGTATATATTGTGTGTGTGTGTGCGTGCATGCGTGGGTGTGTGTTTGGCGAGGGGATCAGGCTCACCAAGCTGCAGCTCGGGGTTGGTCTCAGACAGGCTCCAGTCCACGTTGCAGTCACAGTGGGTCTTCTCAAACAGGTTGTCCAGAACATCCCTCACTGTCTGTCTCTCATCCACCATCAGTGTCTTGGAGCTACCGTCATTCATCACAACTTTCACCACCAGCTGCATGGAGATAAGACATTTACAGAAATAAACATTTAAATATTGGTGGCATTGGAAAGTATGTATTGTGTACTAAATCCTAGTAATACTTGTAATGACAGTAGGACACTGTCCAGGTTGCCGTTTTATGTTTTATTTATGTGTTACGAACAGATGTGAGCTTTTTATAATCATGAGTCATGACACCTGCCGTAGCCTATTCATGACAGCTCATAACAAATTACTTCTCACTAGCATGATAAAGCTGGACATGGACAGTGCATGGGTAAAACAGTTGATAGCTGCATATTCCTCTGCATATAGCTTCATGATTCTTTCATGAACGGTTATGCAGAACTTATGCTAGGTGTCATGTCATAGGCTGTAATGTACAGTATATGACAGGTTTATTGCCCAGAGTGTGTTTCCAGTATGATGTTAATTTACATTTTAGTCATTTAGCAGACGCTCTTATCCAGAGCGACTTACAGTTAGTGCATACAATTTTTCATACTGGCCCCCCGTGGGAATCGAACCCACAACCCTGGCGTTGCAAACGCCATGCTCTACCAACTGAGCTACATCCCTGCCGGCCATTCCCTCCGCTACCCTGGACCAATTGTGCGCCGCCCCATGGGTCTCCCGGTCGCGGTCGGCCGTGACAGAGCCTGGATTCGAACCAGGATCTCTAGTGGCACAGCTAGCACTGCGATGCAGTGCCTTAGACCACTGTGCCACTCGGGAGAACAGTACAGGTGTGGATGGAAAGATGTCATAAAACAGATACCTTGACCGTTGTATAACAGTCCTCAAAGAGCTATCCGCTACCGCTAGCATTGGCGCTAGCTGAGCAGTCATAGGGGAGCATTGAATGATCATTAGCCTCTATGGAGCTATGGCAGTCGTGGTCTGGCTATCGCCCCATAAATAAAGCCCAAATAAACTGGGATTAAGCTCATACTTCCTGGCTCATGTGGCCTTGAACTTCCCCTTTGTCTGGCAACAGATCCCGATTTAGGAAGCAGAGGAGCTTCGCAAACCATCCAGAGGTCAGCCAAGTTGTGTCATAAAAATGTGTCTTTCAAAGATGATAGAGGATGTTCCGTTTTAGATCAGGTTTTTTCCCAGCTCCTATGAAGAACAATGGACGGATGTGCACCACATGGTCAAGTAGTGTGTGTAACGGATCACTTCTTGAATTTGAACTAGGTGTCTTCAAACGAGTGGATTCACAAAAGAAATGTGCTCAATCTGGAACCTCCACTTTAATCTTTAGAACACGTAAAGGAAAAGGCCTCAGTGGCGTTTGACACACAGAGAACAAAACCGCAGACCACTGAGAAATGAAACCTCTGTCTATCTCTCTGGTCAGGACAGGTGTTTCTATGAAACCGGCCAGAGAAGGCAGAGAGTCTGTTTCCTGAACATTCATTAGTGTCATTTTATATTATCATTAGGCACATAGGGCTACATGACTGCAATGTTACCTAATCTAGTTACCTTACACACTGCTTCAGGCATTAAAAAAAAGTGCATTTAACCTTTATTTTGACAGGGAGTCATGCTGAGACCAAGGTCTCTTTTACAGATGAGCTCTGTAATTACAAGAATATACACATCAATATAATATAAAAACAAAACAGAGATATAAAACACAGTCATGGAAAACAAACACATTCTTCATTAAAAAGGTCCTCAATCAGCTGTCTGAAATACCCTAGAGCAGGGGTGTCAAACGTCCGGCCCGCGGGCCGGATAAGGCCCGCAAACGGGTTTAATCCGGCCCGCGAGATGATTTTGAAAATAAAAAAATATAATTTTGTAAAGTATAAAAATGCGCTGCAATTTTTCTATAAAATAAACTGCTGTTCCAATTGCGTCCACTGGATGGCGCAATAGCAATTGTGTTAAGCAAGCAAACTGTTTATACCGGGGCAGAGCAAGTAGGTCAAGCACGTGCAGCCAATGAGCTACTTTGTTTTGCCCGCGATATTTATTACGGCTTCTACTTTTAACATTATGTGCTTTGGCACCCTCATTGCCCCAATATGTCTCTGTCAAAAAAGAGAAAAGTGGACGCAGAGTGCAGAGTGTTCCAAGAAAAATGGTCATCCTATTTATTCACTGAATTGAATGGGAAAGCTGTATGTTTGGTGTGTTCAGAGCATGTTGCAGTGCTGAAAGAATATAACCTTCGTCGCCACTATGTGAGTCTTCATGCCGACAAATATGACAACTTTCAAGGACAGCGGAGATGAGAGAAGGTGAATGAACTGTTGGCGGGTCTGAAGAAACAGCAGTCTGTGTTTACTCACAGCCGAGACATCAGTGACGCTGCAGTGAAAGCTAGCTACCTCATTGCTAATGAAATCGCAGTGGCTTCAAAACCATTTAGTGAGGGTGAATTTGTAAAAACATGCATGATGAAGGCAGCGGAGATTGTGTGCCCTGAAAAGCGGCAGGCTTTTGCAAATATCAGCCTGACAAGAAACACAGTTGCAGACAGGATTTCCGATCTTTCAGTGGATTTGGACAGCCAGTTGAAGCAAAAAGTAAAGTCATTTATTGCGTTTTCGGTTGCAATTGATGAAAGCACGGACATTACAGATGTTGCACAACTGGCCATTTTCATCCACGGAGTTGATGACACATTGACCGTCACCGAGGAGTTTGTGGAGTTGGTGCCGATGACAGATACAACGACAGCAGCTGATATTTTTACCGCACTCGTCGGCGCGCTGGACAGGGTCGGAGTGGACTGGTCCCGCGCTGTCAGCCTGGCTACAGATGGTGCGCCCTCAATGATCGGGAAAAAAGCAGGCGTTGTGACAAAGTTCAGAGAGAAAGTGCAATCTGCAAATGGAGGATGTGATTTTTTGACTTTTCACTGTATTTTGCACCAGGAGGCTTTGTGTTGCAAGTCATTAAAGATGGATAACGTCATGAAGGTGGTCATCCAAACTGTTAATTTCATCCGATCCAGAAGCCTGAATCACCGTCAGTTTGACAGCCTTCTCAGAGAGAAAGACCACATCTATGGCCTGCCATACCACACTGAGGTAAGATGGTTAAGCCGAGGTGCTGTGCTGAGGCGTTTCTTTGATTTACGAGAAGAAATTGAACAGTTCATGGAAGAAAAGGGCAAACCAGTGTTAGAATTTCATTCCGCAGAATGGATGCAGGACCTTGCATTTATGGTGGATGTTACAGAGCACCTGAATAACTTGAACAAACAGCTGCAAGGGCGCAACAAAGTTGTCACGCAGTATTATGACAGCATACGTTCTTTCAAGTTGAAGCTGTCATTGTGGGAGACGCAACTTGCCGGTGGTGATGCAGCTCACTTCCCCTGTCTGAAAAATGTGTGCGCGACCCAACATGTGGCAGACATGAAGCGGTTCAAAGATAAAATAACGGGACTGTTACGGGAGTTTGAGCAACGCTTTCAGATTTATGTTTATATGTTTTTATGTTGATGTGCTATTGTTTTTAATTGATTTTATTTTATTTGTATATTTAACCTATTCTTGACTCTGTGGTTCTTGCACTTGTTTGGGGAACAGGATTTCATTATTTTTATCTACATTTCTGCCTGAGAAATGACACCCTGATATAGTTCTGTGATCTGTGATATACTTCTGTGAATCACTGAGGCATTGTGTGTTTGTGTGTTCTTTGTCCTCAGAACTTTCAAATAACTTGAGGTGTTTTATGATTAATAGTGATGTTGTGCTTTTGGACACTGTCCTCAGGCTCCAGCTTTATGTTTATATGTTTTTATGTTGATGTGCTATTGTTTTTAATTGATTTTATTTTATTTGTATATTTAACCTATTCTTGACTCTGTGGTTCTTGCACTTGTTTGGGGAACAGAATTTCATTATTTTTATCTACATTTCTGCCTGAGAAATGACACCCTGATATAGTTCTGTGATCTGTGAAACAGTTCTGCTAATCACTGAGGCATTGTGCGTTTGTGTGTTCTTTTTCTTTAGAATTTTCAAATAAACTTGACGTGTTTTATGATTAATAGTGATGTTGTGCTTGTACTATTTTGGACACACTGTCCTCAGGCTCATGCTTTATGTTGTATGTTGATCGTATTAAAACAAAGAAAACAATCTGAAGTTGTTGTTTTTAAGTTATATAGACCATGATTTTTCCGGTCCGGCCCACTTGGGAATAGATTTTCCTCCATGTGGCCCCTGAGCTAAAATGAGTTTGACACCCCTGCCCTAGAGGCACCAATTCATTCAATTTTAGAGAGTTTTAGAGATTATTCCACAAGTAAGGTGCAAAAAAACTAAAAGCTGATTTACCTAACTCTGTAGAAACCGAAGGAATTTCCAGGGTTAGCCATCCCTGAGACCGGGTATGGTAACTTGCACGTCTAAAGCAGGAGTTTTTATAAAATAGCTTTATAAACAAAAAGAGAGCAATGCATCAATCTACGAGACTTCAAAGAGGGCCAACCTACTTTCTGATACAGAATGCAGTGATGTGTACTGAACCTATTGCCCGTAATAAAGCGCAGCGTGCTGTAATAAACTGCATCCAATGGTTTCAGTGTATTGGTAGCTGCATTCATATATAGATGGTGTCGCCATAGTCTGGAACCGGCAGGAATGTTGACTGAATTATCTGCTTTCTGTTATTTAGCGAGAGGCATGACCTATTTCTAAAGACGAAGCCCATTTTTATTCTAAGCTTCTTAACTAACTTATATATGCCTTTTCGTCAGTCCAGATACCCAGATATTTACAGTGTCTTCAGAAAGTATTCACACCCCATATTTTGTTGTGTTACAAAGTGGGATTAAAATTTATTTGTAATTTGTTGTCAACAATCTACAGACAATACTAATATATCTTGATTACATACAGTTGGAAGTTTACATACACTTAGGTTGGAGTCATTAAAACTTGTTTTTCAACCACTCCACACATTTCTTGTTAACAAACTATAGTTTTGGCAAGTCGGTTAGGACATCTACTTTGTGTATGACACAAGTAATATTTCCAACAATTGTTTACAGACAGATTATTTCACTTATAATTCACTGTATCACAATTCCAGTGGGTCAGACGTTTACATACACTAAGTTGACTGTGCCTTTAAACAACTTGGAAAATTCCAGAAAATGATGTACAGTGTTTCATCCTCTGTCATGCCACTTACCTTTTTGACTTTGGCCTCTTTCAGCTTCTCCAATGCCAGTTTGATTTTGTCTGCTTTCATTTGTGCCTCTATTTCTTCCTGAAGGAAAATCAATGATTGGTCTTTAATCAAGTGACAGAGCACAGTAGGTTTATAATACACTACAAATCCTTGCTACTGTATATAATGTACATTATTCATACGTTACATAACATAGGTTATGAAAAATGGATGATGCTTGATGATTGTTGAATGAGGTCAGATAATGATGGACCCAGAGCCATATAATGGATACATCTCTATACAGTATATGCCTCTGAATGGACCAATAGCAAAGCAGGAGCTGAGTGATGATGGACAGTATTATGGGTAGTGTTATGTGTGACGGTGATGGATACCTGGTGTTTTTCATCTCCATTGAATGCGGTCAGAAATCTCTCACACTAACCCCTCTATCGATCCTGTTACTCTTTCCTCTCTATCCATGTGTGTGTTTGGTCCATTCCAGACAGAATCCCTGCTTTTCCCTCTGATGTATTGTAATAGATGCCCCAGTGGCCTGGGCCAGGAAACAATCTCACTATGACTTCACTGTGAGAAGGTGGTTAATACAATACCATCCTTCCTTGACATCTAGTACATGTATAGCTTCACTATACGGGCCATCCATCTTTCAAGTATCTCTTTAAAGCACCTAATAACACAGAGTTTGTGTTGATCTAAATTCCAATTTCTTATTCCTTGCTGTAGTCACACTAGAAAAGAGTGTCTGCTACAATAAAATGAAAAAAAATGTGGATGTAATCAAATGAGTCTGTGCTGTCCCTGTCAGGATGAGATGTGGCTGACAGGCTTCAAAACCATGGTTGACTGTAGCTTGTTCATTTCATCTGTGCTCAGCTAAAGGCCTTTAGTGCTAACCTAGCTGTCAAACCTTAGCTGACTCACCATGGAGGGCTTAGCATGCTGTGGAAGCGTAGGTGGCGAGAGAATGGGTGCGGGGGAGTCAGCTAGTGGGGAGCTAACGGTGTTGGGGCCACTCTCAGGCGAGGTGGGGGTTGAGAGTGAGGGGACTGGGGAGAAGCTGAGCCCATGCGGAGCGGGAGGTAGGTCCGGGGGTGGCGCTTTAGTCTCTTTCTGCCCTCCTAGCTCCGCCGTCAGCTTCTCCTCTGTATCATTGAGGTCGGCCATCAAATCAGCCATTAGTGCGTCCAAGTCATTTTCCTCCAGTTCATTCAGGGATTCGACTGTGTAGAAAAGAGGAAAAACAGAATGAAGCTCAAGCTATAATAACATTGGCCATTTTGACCTTGCTACGACACAGGCTCCAGACAAATACTACTTGTTTTGAACTGAGTGAAAGCCAGAGGCCTACAGCTATAATTGGTGTGTAGGCTGGATCTTAATCTCTGTCTGAAATTAGAGCCTGAACAGTAGCCAGACATATTCCAGAGGTATGATTAGGAACTATTTTTCCACCTCTCTGCGTCATTGGTTCTCCCCTCAATCTTAATTTCTGGTAATTTTCTAGGTAATTGATAGCATACTTCCCCCAGAAAAGTGACCCACTGGAGGAATAATAGGTGTCATGCTGTACCAAAGTTAGAAAAAGCTGACGTTGGCCTCTGGGATTTTTTAAACTGATTTCTTAGACATTTTAACACTGGATTTTTAACACTGGCAGTGATAGGTAGGGCCATAATTAGGCCTATGATTTACCGTTCATATCAGCGAAGCCCATGGAGAAGTTCATTTCTTTGCTTGAGCTAGAAGGTGACTCTGGGGGCAGCGTTTCAACCCCAAGACTCTGCAGGGAAAAACAAAGAACAAAGAGTTGAACAATACACCAAATTCAACAACTCCTGCCTTATTGTGGAGTTCCAGGAACTCAAATAAAGTATGTTGAGTCTTGCATAGAAAACAGTTGAAGGACTAACGTCATATTTATGAAATCAAATGAGAAATGATACTCAATATTAGGTATCCCAGGCAACATGGAGTTTTAAAAGAAAACATAAAGTGAGTGGTAAAATATCACAGGATCATGCATGTCTTTACACAGTTATGCTAATGTACCCTGCTTAGAGTTTGACATTTGACCCCCTTTCTTAAAAAAACAGTGTTTCTATCACTGTTTGCGGGTGCTTGGCAGTCTGAAGTGTCTTGTTGATCGATTGTGTGTTTTAGTGTTATTGTCATGTTTCTCATAAGCAGTGCTTTATTTACTAGTGGTTTTGGACATGTGGTTTTGGACATGTGGTCCAAATAGACAGTGAACAATCTGAAAAATCTCTACTGTGTTGCCCATAGAATGTCATGTTGTTATTATCAACTTAAGGGAATGAGGAGTGACATATGTATCTTACAGGAAGATCGGGTGAATACTGACCATATTGTATTGTAGATCATATGTGTGTATGAATAATGTATACAGTACATGTTTGTCTTGCGGGTTTGCATAATAGTCAGCAACTGCTGGCATTTGGGGGATCACCTTGATGAAATAGAGAGAGATGAATGCTATCTTCCGTGGTGAGTGAAAGCCTATCCTGTGTGACTGCTGGCATCAGTTGTAAGATGTTTAAACATGCAGCAAAACAAACTTTACAATTCACAGGTATTTATAACATTTCTAAGAATGTATAAACATTTATAAGTATTTATAAAGGCTTATTCATGAAAGTTGTTATACAGTGTTTACAAAGGATGAGTTAAAAATGTCCAAGACATTGCTGTTGTGTGTGGACTGGACTCACCTGTGTGAGGAGATCCATCTCCCCCAACAAGTCACTGAACATAGCGTCTATGTCGTCCATCTGTTGAAGACAAGTCAAGGGATGAGTGAGAAAAGACCTATAACCTATAACATTGGTAATAGGTAAAGTCGTAGATTGAGATTGATACATTACATCTCAATACAAGAAAGCTATCTCCAACTGGAGAATGTTAGGAAAGAGCTTGAGGTTATATTCAAGATTGTAATGTGCAAACATACGGTGTCACCTTTGAATTAGTGCACACTAACTTCAACACACACACTGCATTTCTCAAAATCTGTGTTGAATCGCCAACTGTAAGAGATCAATGCACTATAGAATGTTTTCATTCGTAATATGTCGATAAGAGCCAAACCTTCTTGCTCAACCTCCGCAACAGACTCCAGGAAATAAAGCATGGTATGTATAACTCCAGGCATTCATTCCTTGTCAAGACATGCAGTGCCTTTCAAAACTCATTTTTGGGGAACTGCATGAGTACAAACATTACTAGTCCATTATGCTGTTTGGTTGATAATCCAATAATGTGGAACTTTAAGAAAGTCAGTTGATCAGATACTGGAATTCACTTCCTGGTTAGGCCAAACAAAACAACAACCGTTCAAACAGACCTACCCCATGCCCAGAAATGCTACACCTATATCACTGATAGAGTATGTACGTTGAGATCTTAGATTAGGGCTGTTGCTTTTATACATTTGAAATGCAGCCAGTGATATTTTCCCCTTTGATACTTGTAAAATGACGTCATAAATTGTCATTGCCTTGATTACATTCAAGACCACTGGACCTTTTCGTTCTCAAACTCAGGAAAATACTGTGGATGATATGGTAAATTAAGTTAAAATAGTATGATTTTGGTATGCCCGGTCAGTCATTAAATTAACTGAGGGTAAAGGTTGAGTGAGTAAGTTATACCATACATTATTACTCAATCATGGTACCATCATTTTGTATTAGTTGCTTATGAAGTTACTCATCAAGAAGGAAAATCCAGACCAACTTTAAATCAGACATTATCATGTCCTCAGCTGTCATACTATGACTCCCATGGGACTATCGTTGGCATGAGTGTGCAGGCTTAATTTATCATGGGGCCACTTCCATCAATTTTATTTACTTAAGTCAAAGTAAAACAATAGATTGCGAGCTTTGTTTTAATTGAAAACAGTCCTAGAAGAGCCATATCGAGAGCTACCGTAGTCATGATGTACATTATACTGCCTCGTTCTCACACACATTATGTTAAGCCCCATTTACTGTAGTCAAACAAACATTATGGTGTGCTGTCAAAACACATCGTGTTTTTCTATTGTAGAATATGGCTACTTTAGTAGTGATATAGGATTGGTGAGATGTATAGGATATGTAATTAAATATACTCATGCATAATTCACATACAATTAATGTCAAATCCAGAATTCATATAAAAAGAAACCATTGAAAATAAATGTTTTGTCAAGATATGATCAACAACCTACTAGACTGGCATTCGGCCAACATTGACTTTTCAAGGTAAAATGTGATTCACTGCTTCATGCAGCCATCTTTATGTACAGTAACATTAGTGGTATCAAGTTTCTCTTAGTTTGAAAACTATGTTAACCCATAACAGATTGAGCACTTGTTTGTACAGATAACACCTGTGTATGTGGGTATATAGTGTTACTCCCCCACCCTAGAATGTCCGTTGTGTCCCAAAACAGAGGGAAGTGGTTACAGGGCAACTTCCTCTTGCTTCTCGTGATGTTGAAAGTATTTGTGAAGGTTGCTGGAGATTGTAACATGCAAAGTCTTTTGCAAGCACTGCAATCCTATTCACTTTATAAACCTTGTATATTTGGTCCTCGCTAAATACCCCATGAGGTTAACATGATCATATCTAATATAGAATCCTGTCAGTTTAACACTCAAAACACATAACTCTTATTTCACTCAAAATCTGATTATGGGCAAACAGTTGAAAATCTTCAGTATTAAACTTGGGCAAATTCAAGACAATACAGCCAAATGTAAACAAAGTTCCTTCTGTCCCTCAGATGTAGCCAGCCTGGTCTCATAGACGTAATATTGTAAATGTAAATCCGGGACACTCAAATTAGTATGACATGTTACGTTTGGTATGGTTAGATAAGACTGATGGTTACTTAAGGCAAAAACAAAAGTAGAGTGGTTGGTCAGGCATATAACGCGAACGTGTAGCAACCCAAAGGTTGCGAGTTTAAATCTCATAACTGACAACTTTAGCATTTTAGGTAATTAGCAACTTTTCAACAACTTACTACTTTTTATGTACTTTGAAACTATTGTACTTAGCATGTTGGCTAACCCTTCCCCTAACCTTAACCTTAACCTTTTTAGCTAACCCTTCCCCTAACCTTAACCTTAACCTTTTTAGCTATCCCCTTCCCCTTCCCCTAACCCTAACCTTAACCCTTTAACCTAACTCCTAAACTTAACCCTAACCCCTAACCCTAACCCCTAGGCTAGCTAACGCAGAGGTTTGTGTGGTTACAACTGTTTAAGAGAGCAGATGAAACAATGAGAAAAATAGACAGAGCATCCTTCCTTAATAGGTATCCCCTACTTCAATGCTCTGTAGTTGTTTTCCACTCTGCATTGGGTTTCTGTTTTGCTTTGTGTTATGACAACCCAAGGATATCATACAATAGCCATCTCCCAGTGATTTCTGGCAATGTCAGCAATCTACAAAACATACATTTACATTTTAGTCATTTAGCAGACACTCTTATCCAGAGCGACTTACAGTTAGTGAATGCATACATTTTCATACTGGCCCCCCATGGGAAACGAAGCCACAACCCTGGCGTTGCAAGCGCCATGCTCTACTAACTGAGCTACATACAAACACATTGTGTAGTTGATGCCAGTTTCCATTTGTTCTTGGATTTCACAGGAGGAAAGGATTAGTGTATTGGTCATTTAGATCCAGCCAGCTGTGTTTAAAGGCATCATTTTGAAGAGGATACTAAAGTGCACAGTGCCAAATCTCAGAATTGCCTCTGAAGTTACTGAAAAATCACTAAGAGGTTGACATTGCAGCAAATGGTCAGAACAGGGAAAGGGAAAAGGGATACCTAGTCAGTTGCACAACTGAATGCATTCAACCGAAATGTCTTCTGCATTTAACCCAATCCCTCTGAATCATAGTGGTAACTAACACCCTTAGCTTGAATGAGAGGCCAGTGTCAGTAGCTAGAGAATGGGTGAAACGTGACCTAACAACACCTACAAATAGCTTTTACGGCATTCGTATCTTATATATTATCTAGCTATGACTTTTTTCTTATTTTGTTTGAACCCCAGGAAGAGCTAATGGGGATCCTTAATAAATACAAATTCCACCTTGCCAGAGAGGACGAATTGAGAGAAGCCAGGTACAATACTCAATCCGTCGGCTATGGTTAGTGGTTATTTTCAACCCTGAGCAAACATGGTAGAAGGTATTCAACAGAAATCAGTTGGCAGCACTGACCTAGTTTATGTTCAAGGTTCTATTATCTGATTGGTGCAAAAACCTATTGCTATCAAGATAATCTGTGGCCCCACCCCTCTACAGATGACAGTCAAACCACATAGCTTCATTTTGCTCATGAGCTCCAAGACATGGGCTTGAACACAGGATGTAAACAAACAAAAACAAACAGTTGAGTTGTAAGCTGCAAAGTGATGTCAGCAAAACCAATAACATCTTAGTTGTCAGTGAACACCCATTATTCTGCTACATGAAATGTCATGCAAGACGGACACCGCATTTGTTACAATGACAGTTTGTGTAAACACAAAACAGCTAGGTCTTTAAACCATTGCATCAACTTGAAGTGAGCTGCAATTCAAACTGTATGTGTATGAGGAAGGCATTTTTCTTGAAATGTTGTGTGATTCTATCAACATGGAGGTTTGTAGACTCAGATGAAGAGTACATGTGTTCTCAGGGGCGTCATGCAACCCAAAAATCTGAGGGGGCACAAAGTACGTGAGGATGGCTGGGGGTGGTCCGGAAGTCTGAGAATTTTGCATTATTCGAACACCTAAAACAGCTTTTTCCTGCAACTCTATGTCTATTTTTCTGCATATTTAAGCATATCTCTTCAGCTGTCTGTATCCTCCTGACTGGGGTTCTTTTTTTAAAGAAACAAAATGTGCTTCTCTGCATCTCTGCTAAAATCTAGGTAAAAGATTGAAAGGAATGTGAGTCTTATTCAGTATATTTAATTATTTCTTGCCTTTCTAAAGGTTGGGAGATTGGGAACCTACAGTGGGGAAAAAAAGTATTTAGTCAGCCACCAATTGTGCAAGTTCTCCCACTTGAAAAGATGAGAGAGGCCTGTAATTTTCATCATAGGTACACGTCAACTATGACAGACAAAATGTAGGATTTTTTATGAATTTATTTGCAAATTATGGTGGAAAATAAGTATTTGGTCAATAACAAAAGTTTCTCACTACTTTGTTATATACCCTTTGTTGGCAATGACCCAGGTCAAACGTTTTCTGTAAGTCTTCACAAGGTTTTCACACACTGTTGCTGGTATTTTGGCCCATTCCTCCATGCAGATCTCCTCTAGAGCAGTGATGTTTTGGGGCTGTCGCTGGGCAACACGGACTTTCAACTCCCTCCAAAGATTTTCTATGGGGTTGAGATCTGGAGACTGGCTAGGCCTCTCCAGGACCTTGAAATGCTTCTTACGAAGCCACTCCTTTGTTGCCCGGGCAGTGTGTTTGGGATCATTGTCATGCTGAAAGACACAGCCACGTTTCATCTTCAATGCCCTTGCTGATGGAAGGAGGTTTTCACTCAAAATCTCACGATACATGGCCCCATTCATTCTTTCCTTTACACGGATCAGTCGTCCTGGTCCCTTTGCAGAAAAACAGCCCCAAAGCATGATGTTTCCACCCCCATGCTTCACAGTAGGTATGGTGTTCTTTGGATGCAACTCATCATTCTTTGTCCTCCAAACACGACGAGTTTAGTTTTTACCAAAAAGTTATATTTTGGTTTCATCTGACCATATGACATTC